TGATAAAGCCCAGTCTGCTCTGATTGGCCAGCTGCCGCTGTCCCTCGTGATTGGTCATTAGGGGGCGTGTCAGATGGCTTCTATGCAAACGTAGACGATGACGTCACACGACGCTGACACCAACAAACATGTGAAGAGAGTTAGCGGTGATTCGAGCCGTAAAGAAAAAACGTGTGATCTCTGCATCGGAATGAAAACAATGAAAACAATGAAAACAATGAAAACAATGAAAACAATGAAAACATCGCCTGAATCGTTGTTTTCTTTTCTCTTACTAAATAAAATGTTCTGAAAGAAACGACTCGTCTTCGTGGTTAATTTATCCACAAGCGACAGTTGTTCTCTACGAGAATATACTTTAACACATGATACGATATATAACCTGTGAGAATCTGATGACAAGTTGTCATTAACGTACCAGTTTGTGTGAAACAGCACAGAATCAAGTTGAAACGTTTCCCTCATGTACCGCCCACTTTCCCACCGCTCCACACCTGGACACACCCCCGGAACAGGTTTTCTTTTTTAACCCACGCTTTTAAAAAAAAAAAAAAAAGTTTTAACATAAAGTACACGATGACCTCAGGAGGTCGTGCTCTCCGACCGGACGCAGCCGAACGGACCAGAGTGTTTCCTGAAACACGTGAGCACTTCAGTGTTTGTTTTCATCACCTCCAAGTGCCAGACGGGTGGGGTCAGACCACAAGATTTCAACTTTCAAGCCGACGTGGATCAAGTGATTCTCTGCGTTTGCTGGTGGGAGGGATTTTACGGCTTCATGCCAGTTAGCTGGTTGTGTAATTGATGGATTAGACGTCAATTACAACGACTTTAAACAACTTGGCAACCAGAACCATTTAAAACGTGGTGTGGATCTGGATCAGAGCGCACAACCAGATATTTGTTGTTCTTCCTCGATAGCATTGTGAGATTTTTGGTGGGAAACTCCTCTGGTCTGAACCGGATCTGACATGAAGCTGCTTTGATTTTTATTATTGTGAGAAATCCTGAAAACTCAGTCGCTCTGGTGTCGTTGGTGAATAACGTGTTTTAAAGTTGCTCACGTTTCAAGGGTAAATAATTTCTCTGTTTACAAAGTTTGAATGTGTTTTTATTTTCTTCATCACTTGATGAGCTGTTTGTGGAAAAGCAGTTGGTCAACACACTCGAGGCTGAAGCAGAAACGGAAATCAGAAGTTTCACCACAGCCTCGTGAAAAACAGACGACCCTACCATTTGTTCTCGGGTTCAGCTCGCGGCCGTCACTGAGTCTTTACAGGAAGTGATCACATTTTTCCCCTTTTTATTATTATTAAAACTCGTATAAAGATAAATTATGCATCAAAACTGTTCTGTCACTGGTTCATTAATTCCAGGTAATTACAGAACAATGAAATAAATCAGCGTACGTCAGCAGAAGATCCCTCAACTCGTATTGACGTTCTTGTTCTAACTAATCTATTTATGATAAAAGCGCAAGTTTCACATTTTTCATTTGTGTTCGCACCTTCATCACCTCTGAAAGATTTCAGGAGAGAACCTGGAGTTCAGGTCTGACAGCAGCGGCCTCGTGTTCCCTGTACTTAGTTAACACATGAGTTGAGACGTTCTTATGTCCCTTAACACTTTGCACACAATGATATTTATTTCACTTCAGGTGACACACGCGCACACACACACGTATAAAGCTGTGGCCTTTGACCACAACACACAGGAAGTTGCAGGTCAGGGATTATGACACTGTCGTTACATGACTCATCTCATCTCCGCTTGTGACTGAGTTGCGAGAGAATGACAAATAATCTTCTCTGTGTGTGTGTGTGTGTGTGTGTGTGTGTGTGTGTGTGTGTGTGTGTGTGTGTGTGTACTTTTGCCCTGTATTGGACAATACCTCATGTGGGACGAGCAGCCACGGGTCACAAAAGTTCAGATTTCACACTGTTTGTTCGTGTTTCTGATCAGTTCGGTTTAATAACGGGCATCATGATTGACAGCTCAGACTGACCCGTGATTGGTCGAGCGCATGTTTCCTCGATTTCATGGCACAAGATGTCAGCGCTCGTACCCACACGTCTTCTATGCTTATTTAAAGTTTATGAGCGCGGACGCTGATGAGCTAAGTTTCGTTTCACACTTTACGCTTGTTTGGATTAAATCATCATGAGGGCAACAGTCAGATCAAGATGTTTCAAGATGGCAGGAAGTAGTTTCATCCAAGAGGGGGCAGATTGCATCAGTGGCCATTTCAAGGAAAGCTGCTGAAACATGGATTTCACATGTATCTGTGTGGGCGGGGGGGAAGTTAAAACTGCTTTGAGTAGAAGAAAGTAAATCAGGAAACATCCAAAACTCTTGTTTCTCCATTTGTATTTGTAATGAGTCAAAGAGTTTCTGGAAAGCTTCAGTAGCAACCGCTGAACTTCCTGATGTGAAAACCTGACCGGTTATAACTAAAGTCAGAGAATCAACACAAACGTGGCCTTGTTAGCTTCTCGTGCTCGAGTCGACCCGGCAGACGTCCTGACGCAGCTGCTGGAGGAGACGGTGAAGTTTGCAGAGCTGTGAGCACCTCCGGATTTTTCTTGTGAACGCTGGCGCTGGCAGACGCAATATTGAAGTTACTTCAGCCAATAGTCCGACTCTCCTCTCCTCCGGACGGCTCGTGTTTACATGCACGAGTTAATAAAAACGGTGGAAGGAAAAAAACAAGCCAAATGTCCAAATGGCTAGCAGCGTGTTGGCTAGCAACCTGCGATGCTTGAAGCACGACGCAATTAAAAGGCGACAAAATGAAAACGTCCCGTTACCTTGAATAAATGGTGGATTTCTCTGGATGATGTGCTCTGGTGCTCTGTGGATTGTGGGTTTATTTGTACTTTAAGTTGTATCAAATACTTGTGAGTAACATTTGTGCCTCACGAGAAACCACAAGGTCTTTAACCCTGGAAAATGTTTTTCTTCCGGAGAAATTACTAAGAATACATTCCGTGTGTGTGTGTGTGTCGTTTGAACATTGACCACCACTTTTCTGTTCATGAGAAATTTGCAGAAATACATGGAGTCAGTCCAGCTTCTGATTGGATGATGCTTCAGCAAAACAGGTAGAATAGTTCAACCTGTTTTTCATCCCCATGATCCATCAGCGTCCCGTTGCGTCTAACGTTTCCATTACCGACCATTAACTGTGTATTCATCCTCCGTGACACCCAAAGTCTGACGCTACGTCAAGAGAAGCCGCAATGTTGAATCAGAAGGTCGGGACGGGAGAATTACTTTGACGAGTTGCTCTGGTTTTGCAAACAAACAAACATAATGAACAGCTCACGTGTGTGAGTTCAGCAGAAGTGTGGGTGTGTTTGTGTCTCGGCCGCCTGTGTCCGTGCTGCTGGCTGCGTCTTGTATTCTCAGCAAAGCTTTCAGGGCGACGTGTTGCTTCCTGTCAGTGTTGCTGCTCTGCTGTGGAACGATGCTCGGATTCAGGCCGGAGGTGATTCCAGCTCATTCAGACAATGATCTGAACGCTGTGACGTCAGTTTCCTGCAGGAGTGTGTGAACAAACACACTAACCAGAGGGGTGTGGTCTGAAAGGTGAGTTCAGATGTGAATCAACTTCAGCCGACTGTTTAGCTGCAGGGAACCAAAGCTGCTCGAACGTGATTGGTCTTCTTCATCCACCTCCGAGCGGAAGAGGAAGGGAAAACGAAACCACAGAGCAGATTCAAAACCGTGAGTTCTGATGCGATCGTGGTGAGAATGGGGAACTGTGACGTTCAGCAAGTGTTCAGCAAACCACAGATTCAGGTGAAACAGAGTTTATGGAACCTCTCTGACACGCCTTCAGTCGAAGGAGGTGCGATCCCATGTGACCTCTCTTTCCCTCCAACGATGGTGACAAACGTGGTCGGAAACACACACGAGGGATTTTGCAGTTTTCCGTGCATCATTGTGTTTTTTTTATATTTGCTGATCGATGGAAAATGATGATTTTCAAGTTTTCACTTTGATGTCTGTCTTCTTTTAAAGACACAATACGCCATTTTCTCAGAAAGCGTCTCTCAGTTGAATCAGTAACAGAAGTTGTCGCTGCAGTTCGATTCTCAGTCTGGGAAAAAACGAATCATTTTCCCAGATTTAAATATATAATGAAAACTAAAACAATACTTTATAATAATAATAATAATAATAATAATAATATGTGGAGCCCTTATAAAGCATCATCTGACACTATGGTGTGTTTAAATTGATTCTAATAGAAGAAAATGAAGTAAAATAATTCTCATTAGTGTTTTAATACAGACAGTGTTATTTCTACTGACTGGATCAAAACAGCCCCTTGTGGTGGGAGGTTGTAAATACATTTTAGTTTAATGGTCTGTGCTTTTTATTAACCAGTGATTTAAACCAACCAGACACACGGGGGCCACTGGTTTTCTGAAAGTCTGTATTTGCCGCTGTAGAATCAGAACACGACCCTTTATTCCTATAAAAATATACGTGAATAATCAAATGTCAACACATTATGACCCACAGGTTTGTGACATGTGTTTTTATTCAAAGGGGAAATCTGTTCCAGATGTTCCATTAGAACTTATGACTCTTTACTTTTTCCAGAACACATGATTCTGACTCAGCTCAACACTAATTATTAACGGAACAGTTTTAGTCTTTTGCTCCAGTTCCTGGAATTTCTGTTCTTATCTAAGTTTCCATATAATAAAGCTGCAAATAAACTATTGTGGGATTAAAAGATTTTAATTCATAAACGTTTAACGGAACAGATTTTACACCTCAGATCATCACATCACACAGTTCACAATGAATTCATTCTTCAGTGACATTATGAATATGAACTAAATGTTTTATTTAATTTTCCACCTGAAAGATGAAACAGGAGTCGAACCACCGGCACCACAGTGATGTACTGCAGAGTGTGGCCACCAGGGGTCGCTCTTCACTGCCATTATAAAATCTGCCACTTTATTTCTGATCATAGTGAACACTGCCCTCTAGAGTTGTGTTGTTGCATCACATGGTGGGTTACAGCTGTAGACATGTTGCACTGGTCAGAGGTCAGAGACGTGACCCCTCACCTCAAACTGAACAGGCGGCCATGTTGTCAGGCAGCAGGCCGGACGAGGAGAAGGGGCAGTGCATGATGGGACACTGACTCTCGTGGGTTGTGAGAGTTTCAGTCAGGAGTCGCTGCTCCTCGGACAGAGAATCCACCTGAAACACGAAAAACAACAAGTCTGGCTTTTGATTACATTTGGTTTATCTGTGGTTTCAGTGTTTTCAGGCTGTTGTCGGAGAATTAAAAATTTAAAGGAGAATTAAATGAGAGTAAATATGTAAACACCTCTGTCCTCAGCTTCTGGTTCCTCTGCTCCAGGAGCTCACAGGCCTGGAAGAGGAAAGACAAGAAGAAATGGAAGAGGAGGAAATCACCAATAAATGGACAGATGATAGATTTTAAAATTTGTGACATACACACACACACACACACACACACAGACACACACACAGACACACACACACACACACACACCTCATGCAGCAGGTCGGCTCTCTGTGTTTGTCTCTTGCGGCTCTTCTGAGCTGCAACTCTGTTTTTCTCTCTCCTCTTCATCCTCCTGCCGTCGTCCTCTGAACCCTGACACACACAGACACACAGGCACGCGCACGCACGCACACACACGCACGCACGCACACACACACACACTTTTCAGTAACGTTAACCAGATCTTTCAAACTGTCCCTCATTTTAACTCGTGACCTCTGACCTTGTGTCGTAGTTCACAGCAGGATAAGAAGCGTGATCTTACCTCACACTTCTCCCACAGGTGCTCGTTCTTGCTCTCTGACATCACAGGAGTTTTACTGTGTGCGCTGAGGTCGTCCTGGCTCAGCGTCTCTGTCACACAACACAAAAGTTTCCAGTAAAGTTTATACTACAGGAGAGAAACCTGCAGTTTCACTTCAGCTTCCTTTTCACCTTTTAAATTTGTTGCGATTTTAGAAGAAGCAGCAAGGACGGTTCACATAAGTCACATGACTCCGGGACCACGATCCACCACAAGTCATCAGTTGATAATTTTACACTGTGGTTTATCTCTTTAATCACACATTCTGCAGAAATAACCACCAAACAACTGGGATTTAAACCACAACTAAAAATAGTTGAACCTCCAAAAAAAAACACTTTTCACTTCTGTTTGAGGATCGTCTGTGAGCGACAGTGAACGTCAGACCGAGAGCAACAGACAAGCAGGTCAGAAAGTGTTGGTTTTAGATATTTAATGGAGAAAAATGACAAATATAAAATATTAACAGCCTTTTCCTTTAAAATTAAAAAGACACAGCACAGGTTTAAAAAAAAGAGTTTACATTAACAGTAAAGATCTTAAGATGAAGATAAACCGACTCGTTTGAGACAGAAGGGCAAATTTAAATGTTCAGATCTCTGGTTCACCCTCTCCCACAGGGTGACCTAGTTTCTTGGAGAGAGGCACGTAGCATTCTGAGGCCGCCGCTTCATCTACGGCTCGCTTGATCGGCAGCCTGTTCCTCGCAGCCGTGCCCGGCATCGGAGCGTCAGATTGGCCGTTGCAGCTGAACACTTCTCTATGGATCTCCAGGGTGGTGTGACTCGGCTTCATGTTGAGGACCTCTCGGAGGCCTTCGGCTTGTTTCTGCAGAGTGCTGATCGACTGAGGACGGACAAAGAAGAGTAGATAAAACATTTTGTTATATAAAATATAAACTTATCTCATCTATTAAATGTGTATTTGTGGATGAGGATTGACGCAGGTTCGCTGTGGCACCTTTATAACCTGGATGGCCTGTTTCACCATCTCAGGAGCAGCTGCAGACAAATCAGTCATGATGTTCTCTGAGGAAACAAACGTAGGATTAGAACTTTTATTGTTAAAAAACATAATGTGGAGAACTTAAGCAAACACAATAACAACAGACAAGACACTTTAATCTACCGAGGCAACTGAAACTCTAAAGGTGAACAAAAAGCAGCATCTCTAGGTATTTCAGTTCACTTAGGCTGAAACTTTCAACTTTCAAGAGAAGTAGCTCTTCCTGATTTTATGAAAGCAAGAAGAAAATGTCCGGCATACACAGTCGGTCAATATGAACCCACTGGAGAGACGATGCTACATTTTAAACCACAGAGGAATCAAACAGAAAGCAGAGACTAGAGATGGTGTCCGTAAATCAAAGTGTCTCATTTCTGATAGTGATGATATTTATATGTTTTCAGTAAATATGATTGTAGATTTATCTGACTGGCAGAACTTTAAGTGACTAAATGAGCTGAGTTTAAAATGTTTGCGTTCAGTAAATACCTTGATCAGGGTCTCTGGCCACCTCTTGAGGTTTGACTGCTGGTTCATAAAGCCCCTGGAGCACACAACATGGCAGCGGATGTAAAGGAGAAAGAACTTCTGGATGGTCTAGAGTTACTGTGATGCACTTTTCTTAAAACCTGATTCAAGTAACGATTCTCTGTCTGTCTTTCACACATGTTGAGAGTCGTCCATCTTATCTATTGTTATTACTGAGGGCCCAGTGCAGTGTTGAATCTCTTGCAGTTTGGAAACGAGATATGTTCAATAAGAGTAATAATTCAGTAATAGTACAAACCGGCCCAGACACCCACCATGACTTTACGCTCAGCCTTGAGGGAATGGACCACATGCGGCAGGATCTGTCTGGGGTAAGTACGGCGCCTCCTGGTGGTCTCAACAATGGTGTCATCCAGGAGGCTTTCCAGATCAGCCGACTCATCCTCTGCTCAGGAGAGGAGAAACACAAACTTCAAACGTCATCTGGATTTGTCCTCTGAAAACAAGCTGTGGGGTTATAACAGGGACAAAGTGAATCACCCTCAGCATCAGGTGCCTCCTCCCAAGGTTTTCCATTCACCAACACGTTGTCCTGAACAGCAGCTTCGAAGTTCTGCACACAAACAAATCACGCGTGTGTTGACCATGTGTGAGTATTTTGTTATTTATTGAGTTTGGCAAATTTATATTGTGGGTAAGAAAAAAGATCTGAGAGGAGCTGGAAATATATATATATATATTGTATTATGTAAACGTTCTTGTATTTTATTGCCTCGGTGTGCAATCAATGTTTTTACTCATTTCTAACACCCACTTTTCTATTGAGACTAAGCGGTCACTGCAAATACTTGGATTTTAAGTGAGTTAACATGGTCTTAGTGATAAATATTATAAAATAACCTTTGTCTGGCACATTCTGCACTTTGAAGGTTTTAATTCCAGTTCTTGTTTTTACATCTTTGATGCCTTCCATCCTCTTTGTGTTTGATCTCTGTGAAGTGTTTTCAGAAGCAGGTACCAAATTCAACTCACTGTTATTCTGCATCATCATTATTATCATTATTATTATTATGACTCTTCTTTAAAAAGACCCAGATGACCGGGACCCTTGTGGCCTGACTTCTGATGGTGGATGTTCTGCGGCTGCTGAAGCACTTTGACCCAAAGACAAACTTCGTGGAGAAGATGAAGAACCTGAACTCACCATCAGCAGCTCCTGCAGGAGAACCCGCCTCGTCTCCTCGGGAACGTTCGTCTGTCCGGTCAGCGCAGTTTTTAAAATGTCTTTATATTTATTCACCTGCTCCGTCACTTGTGTCTTCGCCGTCACCGGGACTCTGAGCTCCTCTCCCTCCGCCGCCTCCATCTTTACCGCCAACCGGTTTGTTTTCTGTTTTCAAACCGGAATCAAAGACGCGACTTCCTGGTCCGACGGTTTTAATGGTCCCCCACCTCCACCTCCTCGGAGCGACATCCCCGGTGCCTCAGCAGAAACGTTCCGTGCTGCTGTTTTCTGACAAAACGAGGAAACATCTCAAGTTTTCTTTTCTGTGTTTTCAAATCTCGTAGTTTTTCTAGTTGATGTCTCAATGGATCTCGGCTTCGTTGACGCTCACTGTCACATCTCAGCCCGTGAATTCGAGGAGGTAGTCTGTAAACACAGTTAGCACAAAGCTAACAGGATGTAAACAACATTAAAAAGCAGTTTTAAACCATCTGAATAAAACTAACAGATTAGTCACTTTAGCATCACAAATGCTAATTGCGAACATTTGAATGCACACAAACTGTTTATCTTTGACTCTGACAGCTGGTTTCATCACTTTGAATTAGTGAAGACCAGTTTTTGTGTTGTTCCAGGATCTGGGGGATGTGATCCAGAGAAGCAGACGGGTCAGTTCTCTGCTCAAACTGTATTTGTTCTGCAGCTTTCATACAAACTGCCTCACAACCGAATAAAACTGGTGACACTGAAAAACCCTTCAAATGGAGTTTAAGAGCTGTGTGTGTGTGTGTGTGTGTGTGTGAAGGCTGGGGTAGAGACCCTGATTGCTGTAACAGAAGAAGTTGGGGAGTTCAGCAGAGTTCTCCAGCTGCAACAACGGTCTGTGTGTCCTCATTGTTCTATGATCATTCCCAGGACGTACCATTATATATTATTATTATAAAATGTAAGAGAAAACAAACAATCGGTTTAAGCAGAACTACAAGTCATTTCTTTTGTGGAGTAAATCTCTAAACTCACAAGATTGTGTCAGAACATCTGTAGCTACACAATAATACAGAACCGGGGTACATGCAGCTTCTCATGCACAACGTATAGAATGAGAATAGTTTACATTCTCCTTTACAGCTGCTCTCTGCAGGAGAGCCTCGTGTTTGTTGTTGCTCATTTCTCTTCTCACAGTTATCCAGATGTGGTGGCTCCGTGTTTCGGCCTCCATCCTCTGCAGGGCGGCGAGGGGCCCGAGCCGCGCTGCGCGAAGCCTCAGGTGGTGAAACAGCCTGATTTTACTTTATTGATTCTGACTAAACGAGGAATGAACTGGGCCCCTCTCTGCTCGGTGGTGTCCCGGGTGAGACAGACAGAGGGACGGGGGGGGGGGGGGGGGGGGTGGGGGGGGGGGGGGGGGGGGGGGGGGGGGTTCTGAGTTCTTTCTTTCAAGCCATAGTAAGAATTGAAATCCACACTCCGTCCACTGTGATGCAAAGATTGAACAATATTTTCTTCCTGCTCTGATTTTTCTTCAGGGTTTCAGGTTTCATTTGAGCTAATGAAAAAAATCCAATGGTGCTAAACGAAACTAAAATCTATAGAATTCAGAGTCAAAGAAAGTTTAACTTTAGTTTTAAAGTGGATGTTTTCTAACAGGACCTGGATGCTGCTCTGCCTCTGTTCTACAAACACAGAGAACACCTTGTTGCTGTTGGAGAGGTACTGTACTATACTTTCTTTATTGTCAGTTTCATTCATTCGATCTTTTAATATATTTTGCACTGAATCAAAACACATGCTGATATTCCATAACTATTTTTCAAGTAATTCCTCTACAAGACTCTGTGACCTCAACCTCTTAATACTAAAACCATGTTGTCGACCTCAGACTGAGATTTAAGTCTACAACACAGAAACACACACACACACACACACACATATAACACACCACCACTTTACACACATTCTTTTGTCCTTTAAAGAAGTTAACTTCAGGAAAAGAAAAGAGGATTTACTCTTCTTAATCTTCTTGGTTGGGAAAAGTTAATGAACTCAGTCAGTCACAGTCTCTATTGTGCACTTCTCCATCCGCACACACACACACACACACACACACACACAAACACACTCCGTCCTGTGGAGACCTCTGAATCTTCCTGTGTCTGGAATGTGTGCGTTGGTCCGAGCAGATTTCAGGCACCAGAGGACTAAGTCCCAGAATCCTGTTTTTCTATAGTGTTGTTTTTATGGATCAGGTGACGTCCCGCTGCACCCAACACATTTCATTCATCTACAGCGTGTGTGCGGCTGTGGCCGAGGGGTAGAGCGGTCGTCCTCCATCCAGAAGGTCGGCAGTCCAATCCCAGTCTCACCCACCTGCACGCTGAAGTGTCCTTGAGCAAGATGCTGAACCCAACAACTGCCCCGTATAGAAAGAGAGATTGCTGCTATAATAGATGTGTGAATGGGTGAATGGCAAACTTTACTGTAAAGAGCTTGATGAATAAATAATCAGCCTTTTAATGAACGTAACTTTATAGAATAATCTCTGTGAGTCTGGGTGAGTTCACCTGGTTGCTCTTCTCTTGGCTCCAGATCGGTTTGGACTTCACACCGTGGCGTGCTCCCACTCAGCAGGACAGGGACGACCAGATGACTGTGTTCGTTAAACAGCTCGACGTCGCCAAGGAGCTGGACCTTCCTGTGTGAGCACAATGGAACAGATTAGAATGAAAACACATATTATACACCTCCATCTCACAACCTTTATATTTTAACAATCCCGTTTCACAACGATGAGATGATTTATATCATGACGTGGGAAACGTTGGCTCGTCTCCAGGAGATGTTGAGTAAATTAGATAATGAGGGTACGTGATCGTACATGAAGTATTCAGGGTCAAGAAGAAGTGAGGTAATTTATGACCAACGGCAGCAGTTCACAGCGAGTATGTGTGGAGGACATGTGTTCTTTCCCTCCAGTCTGTTTGTAATTATGTTTCCACTCATCCCCATCCTTCTGTACTTTCATCCGACATCTGCTGACGAACTCACAACACATTCAAATACGTGATTTGTGAAAATGAGCACGAGAGAGTTTTATACCTTCTGGTGAGGTCACATGACCTTAAACACAAACTGAGCTACATGTCTTCACCTTGAGACATTTGACGTTCTCTGTCCGCGGTCGCGCTGGGAAATGTCTACTAGGTTCTTACTTCTCACATTAAGAAGAGTGGGACAGGTTTGGTGTTTGAGACAGAGGCTGAATAGAGGAGCTGCAGCAATGGACAGTCTGAGGACAGTGATGTTTTTTCTCTGCACAGGAACGTCCACTCACGATCAGCTGCTAAAGTCACCGTAGAGACCATGAGAGAACAGGGTGGGTGTGTCCCTCCTGTCAGTCATGTACACACAGTTTTACAGCTGCAGACGATCTGACGTCTTGACTTTCTGATTCTCCCTCAGGCATCAGTCGCGCTCTGCTTCACAACTTCGCGGGGAAGCCGTCGGTGGCTCTGGAAGGTGTGAAGGCCGGTTACCTCTTCTCCTTCCCACCTGCTGTCTGCAGAAACCAACAGGTGGGGGTCACTTCAATTTGCTTGAACAGCCCACAGATGCATCGTCGTCCCACACCCTCAGGGACTGTCATGAAAAAATTCACATATGAACTTTGCTTGAAATCTTTCCTATGTCTGATCAATGCTCGTGTGCTGTGTTCAACAATAACTCCTCATATAGAAACAGTTGTGCTGCAGGCAGACGATTCAAAACTAGACAGACACCTTTTTGTTTACCTTTAAGCCCTGAGTGCTGCTGTGCACTTGGCTGATGCCACCTCAAAGTTCATCATCCTCTTGTTGACACTGATCTGTGCTTTCAGCAATCGTCCTGTTTTCTTGCATAAGCAAGAGCAGGTGTTTTTTCTGTGTCAACCAGACTACAGGTGGCTTCAGTGTTCATGCTGTCTCTTATGTTTCCTGTTTATCACGCTGTTTAAAAACCACTCATCACGCTGAGTGAAACCCTCTGCAGAGCTCCATTAAAGACCCAGAGACAACTCCGGTCTGAGAACAGTATTTGCGGTTGGGAGGTATTTTCTCCTGCGCAAATAGATTTGAGAAGGAAAGGCAGAAAATCACTTCTGATATTTTGTCCCAAGATTAAAGGAAATATAAGATCAGCAGGACGTCATGTGTCTTCAGCTCTGTCCACTGTACCGAGGTGATAAAGTCATGTTGATGTTACCACACAGAGAGACAAACTGATCAGAGCGATCCCACTGGAGCACATCTGTCTGGAGACGGACTCTCCCGCCCTGGGGCTCGACAAGCACGTGAGTTTGAAATTGATCAAATATCGATGGAACACACGAGCAGCTCCTCCGCAGATGTTTTCATTCGAATATCTCTTGTCTCTCTCTGTCTCGCAGGGGAGGAACGAGCCCTGCAACATCGTCCTGTCCTGCCGGTACATCGCTGACGTCAAAGGTCTGTCAGCTCAAACCGTTCAGCTCATCACTGCACAAAATGCGTACAGACTCTTCCCCGGGGCGGACAAGCAGCGACGCACACACAGCTCTTAAATCTGCGGTTTGGCCTGAGGGGGGGGTGAAGAGTTTTCGAGGAGCGCCGCTGAAGGAGCAGCATGTTTTGACCTGATGATTAGACTCAGATTGAAATGTGGAAACATTCGAATCTTCAAGGTTTAATCTTAACCATGAACGTCTGTCTCGCAGAACACAACAAGTTTTACAGGGAACAGACAGCGAAGATGATATTCACACACCAACAGAGAGAAATCTAAGCCGTGAACAAGGTATTAAAATAACTGCATGTTGGACAGTATTCGTTGCGGTGGCTCGCAGACTCTCGCAGGCATTTTACACCAGGTGTGATTTATCTGGAGGAGGAGAGAAGACGCAGAACAATGATTCATGAGTCGTGATGAATCATCTGGATCAATGTCATGAGAAATATTCTAACACTTTTCATAGCTGCAGCTTTATGGTAGGACGCACCGATATCTGGGAACTGAAGGTCATCGTTTATAAAGCAACCCTTGTTGTTGTGTTGTGTTGATCCTACATGTTTATAATGGTTGTGGGGTTTTTTGATTAACTTATTCAAGGTTTAATTCACACCTGCATTAAATAAAATTAAAGTTTTAAATCAAACTACAGCCTCGCTT